CAACAGTATAGTCAAGTATCAGGAATATATAATAAAAAGAAAGTGGTAACATATACAGTTTAATTCAAAAACAATACAAAGTCCATAAACAAGCAAAACTAAAGAATATCTTGATTAATAATGTAGAGGTGGTAAAAAGTATAAGAAAATCGAGGAAATAACCAAAATCCAGGATAATAGCTATTTGGAGAGAACAAAATGGGACTGAGGGATTGGCATGAAAGGCACGATGTGGCACATTTTTTAAAAGCTGGGTGGTGGGGCGCCTGGGTGGCTCAGTCGTTAAGCGTCTGCCTTCGGCTCAGGTCATGATCCCAGGGTCCTGGGATCGAGCCCCGCATCGGGCTCCCTGCTCAGCAGGAAGCCTGCTTCTCCCTCTCCCATTCCCCCTGCTTGTTCCCTCTCTTGCTGTGTCTCTGTCAAATAAATAAATAGAATCTTTAAATATAAATAAATAAATAATAAATAATAATAAAATAAATAAAAGCTGGGTGGTGAAGCCAAGGGTTTTATTTTTAATATAGCTCACATGTTATAAATACTTTTGTATTTAATATTTTATAAAAATATTTTCTAAATACTCCAAGAAACTAGGATAGCATATATTCAAAGGGTAAGGAAAACTTTTTTTTTTTTCTTAAGATTTTATTTATTTATTTGACAGAGAGAGACACAGCGAGAGCAGGAACACAAGCAGGGGGAGTGGGAGAGGGAGAAGCAGGCTTCCCGCGGAGCAGGGAGCCCGATGTGGGAGTCGATCCCAGGACCCTGGGATCATGACCTGAGCCGAAGGCAGATGCTTAAGGACTGAGCCACCCAGGCGCCCCAGGAAAACTTTTTTAACCAAGAGTGAAAACTGTGATGGTAAAAAAACCAAAATTTTTATATTAAAAACATTTGTTTAGGGGCACCTGGGTGGCTCAGTCAGTTGAGCCAACTTCAGCTCGGGTCATGATCCCAGGGTCCTGGGATCAAGTCCCACATCCGGCTCCCTGCTCGGCAGGAAGTCTGCTTCTCCCTCTATCCCCTCCCCCCTGCTTGTGTTCGCTCTCTCTTTTGCATGCTCTAGCTCATAAATAAATAGATAAATAAATAAATATTTTTAAAAATACATTTGTTTAGGAAAAGCTGACACAAACAAAAGGAAACAAAGGAAATCAAAAACCCCTACTCCATTATTAAAAGAACATTAGGTCATATATTTTAAAAGTTAAATTTTCTGAATGAATGATTGTCTTATCTTTTTAAAAGTATACCTGAATCTTCTTTCAGATTTATCCTTTACCATGCCTACTATGACTCACCTTAGCAACTACTATTACAGAATTTAAAAAGCTTCTCCCTCTGACCCTCCCCCCTCTCATGTGCTTGGCTCTCTCTCATTCTCTCTCTCTCAAATAAATAATAAATCTTTAAAAAAAAAAATTTTTTTTTTAAGATTTTCTTTATTTGTCAGAGAGAGAGAAAACAAACGGGGGGAACAGCAGGCAGAGGGAGAAGCAGACTCCCCACTGAGCAAGGAGCTTGATGTAGGATTTGATCCCCAGGACCCTGGGATCGTGACCCAAGCCGAAGGCAGACACCCAACCGACTGAGCCACCCAGGCATCCCTAAATTTTATTTTTTTTTAAAGATTTTATGTATTTAAAGTGCACGTGTGCACATACAAGCAGGGGCAGGGGCAAAGGGAGAGGGAGTGAGGGAGTGAGGGATTCTCAAGCGGACTCCATGCTGAGCATGGAGCCCTGATGATGTGGGGCTTTATCTCAGGACCCTGAGATCATGACCTTAGCTGAAATCAAGAGTCAGACGCTCAACTGACTGAGCCACCCAGGTGCACCAGGCTTTTTTTTTTTTAAAGATTTTATTTATTTATTTGAGAGAGAGAGAATGAGAGACAGCACGAGGGGGAAGAGGGTCAGAGGGAGAAGCAGACCCCCCGCCGAGCAGGGAGCCCGATGCGGGACTCGATCCCGGGACTCCAGGATCATGACCTGAGCCGAAGGCAGTCGCCTAACCAACTGAGCCACCCAGGCGCCCAAAAAAGAATATTTTTAAAAATAAAATTTAAAAGCCTACAAATTGTCATGAAAAAGCTTTAAGAAATGAGAAAAGAGTATTCATTTATTTAACAAATATTTATAATTAGACAATACAGAGGAGCCAGTCCAAATGTTGAACTTATTAAAAACTGCTTAAATTCAAACTCAATAGGAGTTAAGAAAATGCAGGATAAAGTTAACACTGTGCTATTTCATATCCATCAGATTGCCAAACCTGAAGAAGAGCTACAATATATATTAATGGGATGACAGGGTATTCTTATACATTTCTGATGGAAATGTAAGGCATTCAAGTTTTGAAAAGTAGGCTAGCAACATCTATTAAAATTACACATACCCTTTACTGAACAATACCCACTCATTGTAATCTACATATACACATAAAACTACTAGTATATAAGGACATTTTTTTTAATCCACATAAGGACATTATTATTTTTTCTTTTAAGATTTTATTTATTTATTTGACAGAGAGAGACACAGCGAGAGAGGGAACACAAGCAGGGGGAGTGGGAGAGGGAGAAACAGGCTTCCTGTGGAGCAAGGGAGCCCGATGCGGGGCTCGATCCCAGGACCCTGGGATCATGACCTGAGCCGAAGGCAGACACTCAACCGACTGAGCCACCCAAGCGCTCCATATAAGGACATTCTTAAGGGATTTTTAATGCATCATCATTTATCATGGTAAAAAACTAAAATAATATCAATGCCTAACAGGGCAAAAGATGACTTGTACATCTAAACCATGGGACATTATACTATATTGGAGCTATCCCAGTTGAGGTGGAAGAATATCATGAAGTACTCCTGAATGAGAGAAGCTAGGTAGAAAAATCTTAGGTATAGGATGATCCTACCTGTTGAACAAAAAATAAAAAACCTTCAAAACCCTTACATATATATATATATATATCTGTATACATTTATGCATATAATGATTTTAGAAGCAGTGGAGAAAAAAATGGAAGACTACCTACAAAGCTGTAGGTGGGGTGCGGGGATAGGGACAATGATATGAAAGACTGGGGCACCTGGGTGGCTCAGTCGATTAAGCGTCTGCCTTTGGCTCAGGTCAAGATCCCAGGGTCCCGGGATGGAGCACCCCATCAGGCTCCCTGCTCAGCAGGGCATCTGCTTCTCCCTCTCCCTCTGCCCCCTCCCTCCACTTGTGCTCTCTTTCGTGCTCTTTCTCTCCAATAAAATAAAATATTTTTTTAAAAAAGCATTAAAAAAAAAAGGAAAGACTAAGTGAAAAGACAAAACATTACTTGTAAAAAATCATATATGATCAGATTCATCAGTCTGTGTTTCTGTATTACAGGAAGTAGTTAATGTTATGAAGATCCAAATACAGACCTAAAGGATGAATTTTTTTAAAGCCATCTTGTGATATACAATAAAATATCCTATGACAGCATTATATGCTGTGAAGGCAGACTGTATTTTCCAAATATGGCTGCAACAGTATCTCCCATCTACATGGTGGTCTACAATGTGACTTTGACCCTTCTATCAAGAAGTGAGGTCTGAATATACTTTTCTCCTAAATCTGAGCAGGCTTGTGACTGACTCCCTCGTAGCCAAAAGAATGTGGTGGAAGTGATGCTGTGTGACTTTTGAACATAGGTCAGAGAAGATGCAGCTTTTGCCTTATTCAATGAATTACTCTTGCTTGGAGCCTGAGCCACCATGAAAAAAGTCTGACTACCCTGAGGCTGCCATGCTATGAGGAAGGCAAGGCAACAGGGAGAGCATGTACAGGTGCTCAAGCTGGCAGTCCCAGTTTTTGTGCCCACAAAGCCCAGACTAGACATGAATGAATGAGCTTCCAGATTATTCCAAAACCACTAAAGATCCAGAAAGCTAGTTACCTCTCACTATGTAGTCTAAAAAAATGCTTATCTCTCAAAAATATTAACAAACTAATTCCAAAGAGAAAGAAGGTACTCATAGATCCTACGAATGGAAGTTACCTTCAGAAAAAAAAAATGCATATTCTCCTTGACTCAGTAACTCTAGATAACAAAATTTATCCTTCGTAAGAACACAAACATCCTTTGATGATTCATGAGTTCTATTCTTAGAATTTATTCTACAGAAAAGGATACACTCCCTTTGTCTACTTCAACAAGTAGACAAAAATGTGTATAGGAATACATATACTCAATACTGTTTGTAATAATGAAAAACTGAAAATAATATACACATATATAAAAGAGTAAGTTGGTTAAATTATAATACAGCCATACAATAAAATACCAAGTAGCCATCAGAAAGGATAGAATAGGCCAAAATCCACCAACATAGAAAGACGTTTAGGCAGTTGAATGAAAAAAGCAAGAACAGTACCTACCATATGATCCCTACAGACATATAAAAATCCCCATCCACCATATATAGATCTATATATATTCACAGAAAAAAAGTCTGGAAAGATATATTTAAACTTTTAAAACTGATTATTTTTAGAGAATAATAAAGACAAAGGCTTTCATTTTCTGCTTTTTTCATTTTTATACTGTAAAATTGAATGTATTACTTTTATAATCCTAAAAAACAAAGTTGGGTTTTTTTCCTAAGAGAGTCATGTAATGCAGAAAGAATATAAACAGAAAATTAAGAGACCCTGTAAACAAAGTAGAAACCTTTACTGAATAGTAAGTATAAGCTTCTATATGATTCATACATACACAAAGCATGGCTTTATTTCAACATTAATAACTGTGAGAACAAAATGCTTACTAAAAAAAAGTAAAACTCTTATAATTAAGATTAATTTGCTGAAGATACTAACAGGGTGATGAGATCTAAACTAAATCAAATTGTACCATCATATTAACAGGCCCAACTAAACACTGTTACAGATAAATGCTCTGTCTAGACTCAATTATTATCTATTTAAAGACATGACTGGTTTTTTTCTAAAGTGGTACTTACAGTTCTCTACAATTTCATCAAAAACTGCACCAGTTTTCTGCTCAAACTGAAAAAGCAAAAAAGGAAAGAGAAAAATAACATTATTGTCACATTCTATCATACTTTCTGGTATCCCTCCTCACTCCCCCAAAAGCTGTAATTTTCAATACAAAGTATACAAATTCACAACATAAACAAAACGCTGCCAGAATAAAATATAATTTAGAACTAATAAAAGAAATCCGCACGTGAAAACCCCCAAACCAAAAATAGATAAATACATGCCCTCATATAAAAAACTTGTTTTTAAATTACTTTTAAGTCACAAGATACATACAGTCGTGTACAGTTATAATAATAATGACAGCCACACTTATGGAGAACTTACTAACACTGATAACTACCTAAAACCTCTAACCAAAATTAAACAGAACAATCAGCATCAAATAGGTTTTGCTTAGCCAGAAATCTGCTGCTCTGCAGATGAGTTAGCCATGTTACAGGGATGCTCCTATTTCAGTATCTTAGGGCCTAAGACAGAAGCAGAGCCAAGTCTGAGGTAATTTTGGATCTTTAAGACAGAGATGCAAGGGGTGGGGCTCACTCAAGGGTGAAGCATGCAACTCTTGATCTCCGGGTTGTGAGTTCCAGCCCCATGTTGGGTGTAGAAATTTTTTTTTTACAAAGGGATATATATAAAAATAACTAACAGAGACCGGGGTGAGGGGCGAACCACAGCGAAGGCAACTCTACCCAGAAGCTAAAGACACTCGCGTGGTCCACTTTAGTCTGTAAAGGTCTCCTCCTTTTGGCAACTATGAGCATTTCAGCCTCTTGTTTTTCTTCCTACTATTCATCAATGAGGCAAGAACACAAGGAAGGCTGCTTTTGATAAACCTTGCCCAATAAAACCCAGAGTGTGTCTCCCCATTCAAGCGAGAAACTTTGCAGAAAAAAAGAACTACCTAGATACTTATGCAACTACAGAGGAAAGACAACAGCTGGCTGTAGTAATCAATAGTATCTGATATGTATAAATGTGAAGAGACAACCAATGATCCCAGGTTTCTGAAATAACTATGTGAAGGAGAAGGCTCAAGGTGAATAAACAGAACCACCACTCTAGAAGGAAAACAATTAATTTACAGAAAGGAAACTTCTACGACATAAAAAAACTAAAAACAACCACGAAAAGGAGACGAGGGAATATTTGGAAACAAGAAAATGACTGCAAGGGCGCCTGGGTGGCTCAGTTGGTTGAGTGACTGCCTTCGGCTCAGGTCATGATCCTGGAGTCCCGGGATCGAGTCCCACATTGGGCTCCCTGCTCGGCGAGGAGCCTGCTTCTCCCATTAACCCTCCCCCCTCTCATGTACTCTCTCTCTCTCATTCTCGCTCTCTTAAATGAATAAATAAATCTTTGGGGCGCCTGGGTGGCTCAGTCGGTTAAATGTCTGCCTTCGGCTCAGGTCATGATCACAGGGTCCTGGGATCGAGCCCCGCGTCGGGCTCCCTGCTCAGCGGGAAGCCTGCTTCTCTCTCCCACTCCCCCTGCTTGCTCGCTCTCTCTCTCTCCAATTAAATAAATAAAATCTTAAAAAAAAGAAAAAGAAAAAAAAGAAAATGACTGCAAAATTAAGATTTTATTGGAAAGCCTAGTGATAAAGTTCTGTTTCAAAAACAACATAAAGTCAAAGAGCTAGAAAAGACAGCACATGATGACATGGAAAGACTGAAGCAGTAGGTCTAAGAGCAAACTCAAAGGCATCCCCAAAAGGGAGAATAATGGAAAGGTGAAATAACAGAAGACAATTTTCCCGAACAGAAAATACAAATATTTGAGATTGAATGGGCCTACTAAATACCAAAGAGGAGATGGAAAAAAGATACATCCTGGTGAAATATCAGAATTCCAAAAGAAAGGAGTAAAAAGAATTATAGTGTAGGTGACTCATAAAACACATTTAACATAACTGAACTCAACTATATAAACGTGAAAAAGAAAGGAAAGAAAGAGTAAAGGCCACTCCACCTACCAACTACCCAATGAGTTATGCCCCCAAATAAAACAGAAATGGGACATAAGACTCGGCAAGCCAAACAACAAAAGTACTTGTCTGCACCGAAGGGAATCCAAATGTTTAAAGATAAGATACATTTTGTACACTACTACCCCTGTACACTTTGCATGCACAACCAAAGTACAATCTTGCTCAATGATGTAAGAAAAGATTAAACATAGTAGTGACATTACCCATGGTGACATGTCTATACTTTATGGGTGACTTAAGATTTTCTAAGGTAATTTGGATTATGTACCATTTCACTTTGTGAGCTGATTATAAAACTGACGGGATAATATAGTATTATGATTTAGTCTCCTAACAGTTTCTGTGTTCTATAAGAAACAAGAATCAGGCTGATATCACACTTCTCTGCAAGATGGGACACAAAAGATCAATGATTTTCATGTTCAAAAAGAAAAAAAAGAACTTAGACCACACAAATTTTATTATGAAAAATACTTAACAAAATGGAAATGAAATACATTAATTAAAATTATACTGGGCACAAGAAACAGTAGCAACTGATTATGACTCAGAAGAAATGAAAAAACCTAGATGGGAGAACATGAGAAGACACTTCAGAAGACACTTGTTTGGCAAAAATTCTACGATTTTCTTCTCTATGGTTCAAAAACAAAACCTTTTTCTTACCTCTCCTTCCCTCCCTCCCATACAGCAAACAAAAAAACAAAGACAAAGACTGAAAATAATGCCACTGATGCCAAACAACTAACAAGTTTGTTTACAATATACAATATCATCCACCAAGTCCCTTTTTTTTGAGACTGATAAACATTTCAAAACCATAGGGACAAAATGGATTTGTTTGCCTAAAGCTGAAAAGAAAGACAGGAGGATTGCTAATGAGTAGGAATGCTTTTTTTTTTTTTTAATTGAAGTATAGTTGACACACAATGTTATATTAGTTTCAGGTGTACAACATAGTGATTCAACAACCCTGTATGTTATACATTACGCTATGCTCACCGGAAGTGTTGCTACCATATGTCACTGATATGACACTATTGAAATACCATTGACTATATTCCCTATGCTGTACTTTTCATCCCCATGACTTACTCATTACTGGAAGCCTGTGCCTCCCATTTCCCTTGACTGCTTTATGCCCACCACCACCCCTCTGACAACCACCAGTTTGTTCTCTGTACTTATGGGTCTGGTTCTCCTTTTTGCTTGTTCATTTGTTTTATGAGATTCCACATACAAGTGAAATCATTTTGTTTTTGTCTTTTTCTGACTTATTTCACTTAGCATAATACTCTCTAGGGTCATCCATGTTGTCACAAATGGCAAGATCTCATTCTTTTCTATGTCTGAGTAACATTCCATTGTGTATATATACATTTTCTTTATCCATTCATCTAGTCATGGACATTAAGGTTGCTCCTGTAGGGCGCCTGGGTGGCTCAGTTGGTTAAGCGACTGCCTTCGGCTCAGGTCATGATCCTGGAGTCCCTGGATCGAGTCCCGCATCGGGCTCCCTGCTCGGCGGGGAGCCTGCTTCTCCCACTGACCCTCCCCCCTCTCATGTGCTCTCTCTCTCATTCTGTCTCAAATAAATAAATAAAATCTAAAAAAAAAAAAAAAAAAAAGTTGCTCCTGTAAATAATGCCATAATAAACAAGGGTGCATATATCTTCTCAAATTAGTGTTTTCATTTTCTCTGGGTAAAGACCCAGTAGTGGAATTACTGGATCACATGGTATTTCTATTTTTAATTTTTTGAGGAACCTCTATACAGATGATTTCCTGTGGCTGTACCAATTTACATTCCCAACAGTGAACAAGGGTTCTTTTTTCTGCACATCCTCACCAACACTCGTTTCTTGTGTTCTTTACTTCAGCCATTCTGACAGATGTGAGGTGATTTCTCATTGTGATCTTGATTTCTATCTCCATGATGATTAGTGATATTGCACATTTTTTCATGGGTCTGGTTAGCCATTTGTATGTCTTCTTTGGAAAAATGTATGTTCAGGTCCTCTATCCATTTTTAATCAAATTATTTGGTTCTTTTTCATGTTGTTGTGTAAGTTCATTACATATTTGAGATATTAACCCTTTTATCAGGTTTATCATTTGCAAATGCCTTCTCCCATTCATTAGGTTGCCTTTTCATTTTTTTGGTTTCTTCACTGTGCAAAAACTTTTCATTTTGGTGTATTCTATTTTTGCTTTTATTTCCCTTGCCTGAAGAGACACATCCAGAAAAATGCTGCTAAGGTCAAAGCCAAAGAGATTACTGTTTATATTTTCTTCTAGGAGTTTTATGGTTTCAGGTCTCACATTCAGGTCCTTAATGCATTTTGAAATTATTTTTTGTGTATGGTATAAGAAAGTGGTCCAGTTTCATTTTTTGTATGTAGCTGTCCAGTTTTCCTACCACTTACTGAAGAGACTGTTTTTTCCCTTCTTGCCTCCTTTGTTGTAGATTAATTGACCATATAAGCATGGGCTTATTTCTGGGCTCTCTATTCTGCTCCATTGATCTATGTTTCTATTTCTGTGCCAGTACCATACTTTATTATAATTTTGTAGTAGATCTGGGTACAGGACTTCTTTCTCAGGTGATGAAAATGTTCTAAAACTGTGGTTGCACAACTATAAAATACTAAAAACTACTGAATTGTGTGGCTGCTCAACAATGTGCAAGCAGGTAATACTAACAATGCTCTCAATTAAATGACAGGCAACACTCCAGAACACCTGTGTGGCCTATAATCTCAACAATTGGGTGACAAAAATTTATAAGTAACACTTAGTTTGGTGATAACATAACGGTTTTACTAAACATGTCTGAGTGCTTCTTGTCCAACCTTTTGGACATTTATAGGTAAGAAATGAGTATAAGCAGTTACAAATTTAGCTATGAAATTAATGTCTTACTAGTCATCCCTCAAGCTTCATAAAGATTTAACTGAATTTAAAAGCCAACCCAATTTAATTTTTAAGAGTCTGTAGTAACTATTAGTGTATGCAG